CCCAGGCCCCGCCCCCACCCGCATGCCCCCACATCTGTCCCACATGTGCTAATGCAGAAACTACTTTAACGAAAACTGGACCACCCTGTGTAGAGTTCGCAATCCACATTTTCTGTTTAGTAAAATAATCCTCTTTCCTCATTAGCACATATTGGTCTACTACATTGTTTCAACAGTATGAACAGAAGTTTCTTGGGGTTTTGTTTTTATTGAAAAATCAAGGGGAAAGTTGTGTTTATACCTTATCTACGATCTGTCTGCCTGTCTGTACCTCGTCATTCTAAAAATTCACGGATCTGTGTTTCTGGAATGTGTACTGAAGGATTTTCCTGGAGGGAGGGAGGGACCTCAAGTAGGACACATGTAGGCAAGAAAATTTCATTAGTGAAAAGAGCTGAATTCTTAGAAATCTCACACGTGGCCTCGAACTCAGTCGAGGAACCACAGTGGCTTTAAGTATAAGCCTTTGGTTGCTTCTCACTTGCACAGCTCTTTTACAGGTCCTGTTCCGTGCTTGGTTCTCCCCCAAAATGGAGACTACACTGTGATTTTTAGATCAGGAAACAGCTCTGAGACACCAGAAGGTGGGCCCATTGTGTATTCGAGGCCCTTAGAAATGACAGAAAACACACACACAAACTCAAAAGACAAGTGTAGGGATCTTCCCAGGGCCCAGAGACCGCGAGGACTCCCGGAAGGGTGGAGAGCGTGCAGAGTGAGGCTGAAGAAGGAACCCAGTCTCAAGACTCAACAGAGGACCTCTTCGCAGAGGGTTGCAGAGGCGCCAGGCGGAGGTGGTGGACACTTGATGGGGATCTGGTAGCAACCAGGACACATACCACATAGCCACCTAGCAGCAGGTGGCGGCTCCAGGAGTGGACCCTTTCCCAGGGCAGCTTCCCAGGTAAGAACAGGAGACTGTGGACTTCGTCAGTCAGCACAGCAGAGTGAGTAGACATTTGGCACCACCTCGTGAATGCGAGCGCTGTGCATCCCTGCTGAATCATGAATCATGATTTAATTAATAATATAATGAGTTATTTCATTAAGAATATAATTGATGAATCGTGATTTTTCTATTTGAGTCCAACTTTAATTTTTGCTCAAAAAATTAGCTTCACTGAGGTATAACTTATGTGCAATAAAACTGACCAGTGTTAAGTGTGCAATCTGATAAGGTCTGACAAATGTCTACAGGGCGTAACCACCACTGCAGTCATGATATGTTCCTCAAAAAGTCGGACGTGTGTCAGGTTACGACACAATCCAGCAATCCCACGTCGAGGACATGCCCAGGAGAAATGAAGACATGGCCACACAGCAACGTCTGTACACATGTCCACGGCAGCTTCTTGTCCCCCCCAAAAGTTTCCCTGGTGCCCCTCTGCAGGCGTTCCCTTCTCCCACCTCTCATACACGGCCAGTCACCCGTTTGCTTTTCGTCACTATCGTTTTTGCCTTTTCTTGAGCGTCAGATACACGGACTCACGCAGTGTGCGATCTTTTGTGCCTGGTTCCTCCGAGTTAGCAGAAAGCTTTGAGAGCCATCCCTATTACTGCAGGTGTCATTAGTTTGTGCCCTCCTACTGCTGACCAGTGTTCAATTAAATGACGGTACTGCCATTCGTTTAACCGTGCAACAGCTGACGGACATTTGGATTGTTTCTAGTGTTTGGTTATTATGAACTGCTGTGAGCATTTGAGTACACGGCTTCGTGTAAATGTGTTTTCCTCTCTCTTCGATAAACACCTGAAGGGTTGCTGAGTCATATGTGCATTTTTAACTTTATTAAAACTGTCAAACTCTTTTCTGATGCGGCTCTACCATTCTGCAGCCCCACAGTCAACGAACGAGGGTTCTGTTCGCCCCACATCCTTGTCAGCAGTTTAAAATTTTTTGCCTTTCCATGTGTGTGTAATGTCTCACTGTGGTTCTGTTTCCTTAGATGTTAAGCATCTTTTCCTGTGTTTATCTGCCATTTGTATATTTTCTTTAGTGAAATGTCTGACATAGCTTTTTCGTCCTCTTTGGGGATTGGTTTATTTTCCTTGTGACTGCTGAGTTTTAAGGATAGAAGTCCTTTATCAGCTATATAGTTTGTGAGTATTTTCTCCCAGTCTGTGAGTGGAAGAAGTCTGCCTTGTTCCTGATTTCAGAGTGAAAACATTTAGTCTTCACCACTGAGTATAATGTTTGCTGTGGGTTTTTTGGTGGCTGTTCTTTATCCAGTTGAAGTTTCTTTCTAGTCCTAGTTTGCTGAGAGCTTTTATCATGAATGGATGTTGAATTACGTCAAAGACTCCGAATCTATTGGATGGACTTGTGGTTTCCCTTTTTGCATTTGTTAAGATGGTGAATTGCATTAATTGACCTGGATATTAAAACAACTTTGCATTCCTGCGATGAATTCCACTTGATTGTAAGGTGGTGTCCTTGTTTTGTATTGCTAGATTTGATTTTCTAAAATGTTTCTAAAGATTTTAATGTTTATGAAGGATACTGGTCTGCATTTTTTTTTCTTTGTAATATCTTAGCTGGTTTGGGTAGCAAGGTGATGTGAGTCTCGTGAGTGAGACTATCCAGATTTTCTATGTCTTCTTGCACTGGTTTCGTAAAGTTGTTTTTTAAGAAATGTGTGCATTTCCTCCCAGCTATGAGGTGTTTTGCCATAAAATTATTCATGACATGCTTTCGATGTCTGCAGGATTCTCTCCTCTCTCTCACTCCTGATACTGGTAATCTGTGTTTGCTTTTTTTTCTTGATCAGTCTTGCTAGAGTTTACCTATTAGTTTTAAGAACCAACTTTACAAAAGCAGAATCCCACCTCCCGCCCTTTGCTGCTGGCCTAGTCTGCCTCCTAGAAGTCAGGGCACACCCTGCCCATCAGGGCTGACGGGGAGGGATTCGGCCACCTGGCTGTTCTCCTCACCACAATCTCAGAACGTTCCCGAATGTCGATCAGTGATCCAAACCTTCCAGAATGCTTGGGTCTTGCAGACCCAGCCAGAGGCCCGGCCAAAGCGTTTACCCAGGAGGCACTGCAGATGCCTCTGGAGTCTGGCTCTGTCCTGGGGGCCTGACAGAGACCCTCAGAGACCTGTCAGGGGTGAGCAAGGTCTGGTGCGGTGTCTCCCCAAGTCCTAAGAGTCCAGGGCAGAGGGTCCAGCAGCCAGTCCCCTGTGCCTGAGCACTTCATGGGTCCACATGGGACAGGCCATGGGCCCTCAACAGTGCTCCCTCCTGGTCCAGCAGCCATGCCAAACCTTACTGACATTTGAGAATGGAAATCTCAATGTTACAGAAAAAAATGTGCAAAAGGTCTTTTTTGCAAATACTTTTTTATAGCTAGTAAGATTATCTTCAATTAAATAGTAAGGCACCGTCTACATATACATACATGCTATGCACACAAGATGCACATGGAGCAGAAATATACATTAGCGTCTGCTGAGTCTGTACATGATTTTAGATGGAGCTCTGATCTTTGGTAGAAAAAAGTCTCTGGGTTTCCTCATTCCAAAATTGTTGCATTCTTTTTGTTTGTTTGTTTTTAAGGCAAAGAACTTGCCTCAGTGGCCCAGCCCTGTCCAGACAGCCTTATCATAGTGTTGTCTCCTCCCTGGGGCAGATCCTGGTCACCTGCTCTGATGGTGGACAGTGAGGGCAGGCGCAAACCTGTTCAACCACAAAGCGGCCATTTAAAAACGCCCCTTCTTGTGAGCTTTGCTGGAAACGAGAGGTCAGTGTGGGGCTGTCGGCTTCAGCATTTGGTGAGTGAATGAGTGAGTGAAGCCAGGGAAAGGCAAGACCAGAGCCCTGAGGTCTGCGGGTCGCGTGTGCTTTGGCTAAACTGCTTCCAGCTGGCCCGGTGCTGGCCCAGGTCGTGGATTCTGAAACTGCCTAGACAACGCAGGGGTGACTTCTCAGCGGAGGTTAACTGACAGGCAACCCAACCTGAAACGGTACAGTTAAATCCGTTAAGCCCGAGAGAGAAAGTCCGATATTACAGGCCTGGTAACTGAGGCCCGAGCGCCGAGCAGGCGCCTGCACTGGCCACGCCCCGCTCACCGCTGGGCAGGTGGGGACCCGCCTTCTCTGGGAAGGCTCCAGAAAGCCGGCCGAAGGCACGCCGCTCCCTCGCAGGGCTCAGCGCCGCTCCCACGGGCGCCCAGGTCACTCGACTTTCCAGATGGCGATCTTCCCTTCCTCGCGGCCGGACCCGCTCAGCACGTATCTGTCCTCCGCGGAGCACAGGGTCTTCACCGTGTCCGCGTGGGCCACCAGCTCTTTCTCCACCGTCTTCCTCTCGGTGTCGACCACGTAGATCTTACCCTTGGACCTTCCCTGCGACAGCCCGGTGCCGCCCACCCAGATCTGGGAGGAGAGGCGGGCGTTAGCGTGGGGACCCCCTCTGCCGGCAGCCCAGGGGCGAAGCCTTGGGCGGAGGGGCGGGGCCTTGGGCGGAGGGGCGGGGCCTTGGGCGGAGGGGGCGGGGCGGCGGGAGGGGCGGAGAGGCCGTGGGGGGAGGGGCGGAGCCCCACAGGCAGGCTCCTCCGGGAGGCCTGGCGCCCCTTACCTGCTTCTTCACCCTGATCATGCAGTTGACCTCGGAGCAGTCGGGCAGGTGGATCCTCTGGGGGGGCTGGGCCAGGTCCCTCAGGCTCCAAATGTAGAGGTCGCCGTACCCAGCACAGGCCGCCCAGAGCTGCTCCTGCTAAAACATAAGGTGTCAGTGCGGGCGCTGGCTCGGGGGGCCAGCGTGCACCGCCCAGACAGAGGTGCTGGGGTACCTCGGGTACGAGCTGGAAACCCAGGAAGGAGGTGCTTATCTCTGTGAAGTTCTCGTTGATCTTCAGTTCCTGACGGACAAATCCATTCGTGGTCACGAGCATGATGCTGGTACCAGTACCTGCGGGACGGCAGACCCAGAATGAGACGCAGGTGGGGCAGATTCGACGCACAGGGAGGAAATCGCTGTCCCAGCTGCAGTGTGACTGGCGGGGCCACTGGTCCCTTGCCACATCTGACCACGCGGTGGGCTCTGTGACTGTAGTGACCACGGGGTGGGACTCTGTGACTGTGACAGCCATGTGGAGCCTTCCCGTTCTCTCAGCCACGTTGTCCTCGCAGCGACACTCAGACCATTAGCCCCATTTTTACTGATGAGGAAACTGCTGGAATCCAGCAGCCTCTTCTGAGGCTTTTGGGATTCTTCCTGCCACGGTTATGGAGCATTTCCCATCCCTTGAAGCCACAGTGTCTGCGAACCTCGTCAGTAAGGACAGAACTCTAGGCGGCAGTGCCCAGCCCACGTGGGACATGTCTCCCTGGTTAAGTGTCTCTCCATCTGTTTCTATTAATCACTCCAGGAGAACGTCTTTTTGTAAATCAAGAGTTTCCACACCATGAGAGCTGCAGGTCATCAAAATCAGCACCGCAGGGGAGAGGTCAGACCAAGGCTACGGGGGATGGACTCATCTCCAAGGAAGGTGAAGAGCTACAGGGCTGTCCTTTCTCAGCTTTTACTGCCAGCTCCCTCCTCCCGCCCCTGTGCTGAAGCCCCTGGGACAGGAGGGACCAGCACCCCGGGCGGGCCCTGGCTTCCTGCCGTGGTGGGTGGACTGCAAGCCCACAGAGAAATGACGCCCTGTCCTCAGCCGCCCTTGGGACTCGGCAGCTCAGCTGGGGTCTCGGTCCCAGAACCTGAGAGCCCGCCCCCACCTCTCCTTCCTGCCCGAGACCTTATTAGCAAACCCGGGCATCCCTTAGGAGGCCTTTTATCCAGAGATGCCATTATCCACTTGGGCTAATTAATAAGGTCCTTTTGGAGGCTGCTGACTGTCAGGAACACCTGGGCAGCAGGAAGCCCTGCTAAGCGGCACTGATGCCCCTGGAGGCCCCTCCCTGAGGCCAACCAGCCATGCTCACTGCCCCAGGCTCTCCCCAAGTGCAATCGCCAGGTACCAACAATGCCTGGGCCCGCTGGCAGAGAGCAGCAGGCAGAGTTCACACCAACCCTGCTTGTGCGAGTCTGGAGGGGGCCTGCTGCACACGGAGCAAGGAGTGGAGGCAACAGAGGTGGGTGGGACTGATCACTGTCCCTGAGGTGGGCCAGGCACCCAAAGAGAAGGGGCTCCTGCCACCCATGGGCGACGGAAGGGGGAGGACCCCGGGAGAGCTCTGTCCACAAGATGACCCCCATGGGGGACAATGTCCTCTGCAGCTCTGCCACCCACCCCCCTTTGAAGCCAGACCTGCTGTATGCTGGGTCCATTATACATGATGTGGTGTAATAGTTGCGTAAGGTAGACTGTGAGAAATTAAGGTGGCATATCGCAGTCCTTAGAGCAACCTCTAAAAAATAAAGCAAAACACACAGGCCTAAAAAGACAATACAAAAGATTAAATTGATTATAAAAAGTACTCAGCCTAAAAGAAGGCAGGAAAGGAGAGACAAAGGAACAAAAGAACATGGGGAAGATGGAAAAGAAATAAGTAGGTTTATATCCAACCATGTCATTAATAGCCTTGAGAGTAAGTAGACTGATGGGCAAAGAATCTGAACAGATGTTTCTCTGAAGAAGACACAAAAATAGCAAACAGTCCATGAAAGGATGCTCTGCATTGTGAGCCATCAGGGAAACGCAACGAAAGCCACAGTGAGATGCCACTTCATGCCCACTAGGACAGCTAAGATGAAAAAATAGATAGGTTTTGGTGAGGGTGTGGAGGAACTAGAACTGTCATGTACCTCTGGAAAGGAATGACAGTTTCTCAAATGGTTAAACATAGTTAACCCAGGTCCATCCAAGGGAGAACGGATAACCAAGTTGCAGCCTTCATGCAATAAAATGAACGAGCTATTGCCACTGGAGCATCATGGCTGAACCCTAAAAGCACCCTGTTGCCTGAACGGAACCAGATGAACAGGTGCTCTAGGGTCCATTCAGAGAAAGTTTGGGAACAAACAAAACAAATCAGTGACAGAATCCAGGACAGTCGCTCCCCTCGAGTCAGGGGCTACCTGGAAAGGGGCACAGAGGGACTGGTAGCTGGGATGGAAATGTTCTGTGTCTCGATCGTTGGGTGGCTCTGTGGTGTATACTTCTGTCAAAACACTACAAATTGTACAGGTCCATCTGTGCATCTCATCATATATAAATCCAGCTTCAATTTAAAGAAAACATTCAATTTAAAGAAAACATTCACCAGTGTTGTCTGGCATCCAGCAGGGAAGCCTTCAAAGTGCAGGCAACCATTGTGCCGTGCTGCTCAGAAATGCAGAACATACGCCACCAGGCACAGTGTCTGCACCTCCCCGTCACACTCCAGCAAAACGCCCAGCTCACATCCACAGACCTCCCTGGCCCGAGGTCTGGGCAGGGGGTGGCAGAGGTGAGCACAGGGCACAGTCTGCCAAGCCGGCCCTCGGGCCGGGGAGACAGGACCACACACAATAGGGCCACTGAGGGCTCCCAGAAGGGGCAGCGATGACCCAGGGGCATTCAGGCTGGCTGCACACTACGAGCGGGGACAGTGAGAGCAGAGGCGAGGGGCAGGAGCGAGGCCACGCGGGGAGGATGCAGGCGTCCCGTCCCATTAGCTGCGAGCAGGGAACCCAGGGGAGCAGCAAGCTCAGGCAGGGAGCGGGGAGCCGCGAGCAGAGAGAAGAAACCAGAGTTTTACAGTCAAGGTTGGAAACACGTAAAGCCAAGGAAACAGGCTTTAGCTCTCATTTGGTTTCCTTTCCCGGGACGAGCAGGGCTGAGGGCGGCAGACAGAGGACTTACAGCACCACAGGCGGTCGCTGTGCAGTCTGATGGACGAGAGCCCGCAGCTCGGCAGCTGGAACCTGCTGGTCACCCGCAGCGTGCTCACGTTCCAGGCCAGGACCGTCCCGTCCATGCTGCACGAGTACACCTCCCTGCGGTGCAGACACGTGTGCACGTGCATGTCATGTGGCTGGGAGAACCCCGTGCATGCTCTCATCCAGAAAAGAACGAAGCTGCTGTCAGGGAAGGCACCCACAACACAGATAGCGAGTGACACAAACGCCGTCCATGTGGCAAGAACAAGGCTCGGGGAGGATGTGAACAGGGAGCGGGGAGAGGTGGGTTTCTGAGCTCACCCAGCACCTCCCATCACTGCTGCGTGTGCTGCTGCCAGGAACTGGCGAACAGAACCATAACGTCACCGTTAACTGAAACCCACCCCTCACAAGAGAGCTGGAAACAGCACGCGCCCCTGCGAGCTCAGGGGCCAGCATCAGCACGGTCCGGGGGAGGCGCGCCCGCCTGTGACGCGCAGGCCCCTCCGCCTTCTGATGCCGTCTCAGCTGCAGCTGAGACCCTGCGCCCACCGGACAGATGGCGTCCGTGAAACTCGGGGACGGAGGGGTGGCAGGGAGGGAGCCTTGACCGCTGGGTCCAGGGCTGGGGCTGCCTGCTGAGCCCAGGCTTCCTCACAGAGGGACCCGGGGGCCCCACCTGGTTCTCACAGCTCCCCTGGGCACCTGCTGGGCACCAGGCCCTGTTCCAAACACAGGACACAGCAGAGAGCAGGACAGACAGGGGCTGCCCTCGGGGAGCTGACGCTCTTATGCAGGGACGGCAACGAAGGAAAGAGGTAAACTGTGTCCCCAAAGAAAGATATGCTGAAGCCCTAACCTCTGCCCCCGTACCTCAAAATGACATCTTGTTTAGAAACAGTACAGAAGTATTCAAGTTACATGAATGAGGGTAAGCCATAGTCCAGTATGATTGCATCCTCATAAGAAGGGGACACTTGGACACAGACAGACACACAGGGGACTCTGTGCAAAGACAGGTGATTGGAGCGATGCATTTACGGGCCAGGGAGGGCAGGCAAACACCAGGAGCCAAAGAGCAGGCAAGGAAGGCTGAGTGCCAGCTGCTACTGACCACCACACTTCCCCCGGAGTTGGTCTCCAGGAGAGACTGCTCCTCTGTGCCCACAGCAGAGACAGGCAGGAACACCCCCGAGCTCTCCCTCCAGACCCGCTTCACTCTCCCTGCCCGGCCCGGCCCCCGTAGGCGAGCGATCCCTGCCCTCTGGGAGCCCCCGACCCAACCAGGAGCCAGGCAGCCCCCCCCAGCAGAGCCTGGACGAACCTCGGCGCCTGAGCTCCATCCTGCACGACCAAACCCGTGACGCTGGAGCGGTGGTCCGTGAGCTGCTTGTTGCAGGACATGCTGTGGATGTTGATGATGTAGATGACGGAGTCCTCGGAGCCGACCCACACCTGGCTCTGCTCCGCCATCACCATGCAGTTCTGACAGGGCCGGGATGACATGGGGAGGGCCATCAGTTCCCACTGACCCTGGGGTGAGCTGCGTCCTGCAGGCTCAGCGAGCGCTGGGACCCAGGCTGAGGCTCCTACAGCCACATTTTTCTTAACCGATCAATACGTCACCTTGTTGTATGTGTGTTTCTGTTTAAAGACACCTTATTTTATATACACTTGACCCTCAAACAACAGGTCTGAACTGCACAGTCGACGTACACATGGATTTTCTTCACCAGACACGCAGTGCAGGACCACACCCTCTACGGTGGGTGGAATCCATGGATCTGAAACTGGGGCCGGCTGTCAAGTCACACGCAGGCTGTCGACAGCGCAGAGGGCCCCCTGCACCCCGCTGACCCGTCCGCCTGAGCTCGCCCTGGACGGAGCCTGTCCACGGCACGGACGTCATGAGGCTCCGGCTTCTCGCACTCAGGACATTAGACAGCAGTCAGCTCTGCACTGGGGCACCGCTTTAAACAGCAAAACCACCCATAAAAAGCACAAAAATGCAAAAACCGTGGCACTAAATGGGCCGTGGAGAGGACACCCATGTACAGTGTGAGCTGGACCAGGAAGGCAGTTGCCTTGTTCGACCTCGGCTGGGAGCTTGCACGCAGCTGGCATCCTTTCCAGCTGTGTGGGCGCGCACGTCTGTGGAGGACCCTGAAAGCACCGTGAGTATGTGTCCTGGGGGTACAGGCAGGTTTTGTGAGCAGGTAAATCCGCACATGTGGAGTCTGCAAACAATGAAGCCTGACTGCATGTTAACTACAGATAGACCTGCCAGAGCTCGCTGTAGCGCGTTCTCGGGGTTCCAGCTTAGCAAAGTCAGCAGCCAGTGATGAGTTTAAGACTGCTGGAAATTAAACAAGAACTAAAACACCGAAGAGTTATAAAAGCCACATAAACGTGAAACACAGCTGTTTGCCTGGACATCTCAGCAAACCCAGCTGAATCCCTAAAAAATGCTCCCTAAAAATTTTCTGAGCTGGTGTCCAACCCCACCCGTGATGTGGGCAACACTTTACTGGTAACTGAACAAATGTCTCAGATTTTCAACACAAGTCGATTTTATAGAGTAACAGTTACACTCATGTTGGAGGGCTTGAGGCTAGACCTAAAACCAGATACAACCAGCATCGATGGTGGTGAACTGTTTAAGTCACAAGAAAGATCTTATAAAAACTCATAGTTTTAATTTTACCAATAAATATTCTTATAAATTAGGAAAAGGTGCTACCTTGCTAATTTCAGAATTAATAATTTTAAAAAGCCCTTTCTTTTGAGGGATCTACCTGAGAATTGTTATAATTTCAGTAAAACATCTTTCTTTAGTGGCCGAAAGATATCCTACATAAACCACTTTGAACTTCAAATTTCAGCGAAGGGAGCATTTTCTAGAGATTCTGCCCACGTTTCTTCCTTGTCAAATGGTACGAAATATCTCTGTGAAACTAGTGGGAGGATATTTTCACATAATTGGAATAACTTTCTGCCTCAGTTGTTAGCTGCCCTAATTGGGGAGCAACAGAGACTGATAACAAAATGCCACGTTTTGCTTTAATTTTCACTAGGATTTTAAAAGTTACCCTGTTATTGAACAGTCTTTGAAATGCTTGTAACTAAGAATCAACCCCCAAAATTCAATTTTAGGATGAGAATGATGAGATGAGGCTGAGTCTTTAATTCCTCCTTCTTGTTTCTCGTTTGGTCTAAATCATTCTCAGACTTCTGTGAATAGTCTGCTTTGACGTATCTTGGATCTTGTTCCTTTATCATATGAGACTCCAGTTTCGGAGTAGGGGGCAGTAGGGGTTTAAACCCATTATCTGCTCACTTAAATAAGAACACTTAAGAATAGAACAAGTTCACATTTAATTAAAAAACTCGAGATAAAAATGGGAGCCTTCCTGCTCGTAGGATTCAGGGAGGCAGTGAGATTCATGCATCCTGCTGCCTGTACAGGTGGGCCTGCTCACTTCCCAGAATCACAGCTTAATCTGGACGCTTACTTAACACAGTGTCAACACTGCCTGCATTTCCTGGGGACTTGCTACTCACCAGCTTAGAAGTGCCCACTTTAAAGCAGTGCTGGTGGACCGTCCACGAGGAAGCATCGAACACAATCACCTTGCCTTCGTCCAGAGCACACCATAGTTTGGGGTGAGCGTCCTCAATTTTTTCTGCTGGGTCCAGATGCCCTGACGAGGGAAGCAACCCAAAATGTTGGAAGGGATCCTCTGCTGCATCAGCCTGGGATGGATACAGAGGTGAGACAGCCCAAACCCCCTGCCCCAGGGAGCCCAGAGTCTCGTAAGCGAGCCAGCTCCGCCCAGAGAACCCCACAGAGAGCCAGCCAGGAGCACGCATGTAGGCGGCCTCCCCTGCCAGGATCTGAGGGGATCTGAGGAGGATTCATAAGGGAACAGCGGTTCAGGTACAGGGAAGTGGGGGCCAGGGACGGAAAGGAGAGGGGAGGGAGGTCTGCGTGGAGGGACGGGCTCCAGGGGACATGCGCCGACTCCTTTTGCTCCGCGTCTTCGCCAGCACTTGGCCCCGTCAGTCAGTTCTCCCACCTTGGCCATTCCCGTGGTGTGAAGACGTGGCCTTTCCGCTGTGGTTTATCTGCCTTTCCTCAACTGCTCACGAGGCTGATGGCTACAGCCGGCCGTTTGGATGACCCTCTGTGGTGACACGTTTATGCCCCTGCACATTTCTGAGCTGCGTGTCTCACTCTGTGATTCGTGGCCACTCTACGTGTCCTCTGCGAGCCCCTCATTGGTCCTACTGTCTCGCAAATATCCTCTCCCCATCTGTGACTGCCACTTTCACTCTTGAAAGCTTCTTTTAAAAATCCTTTGGGATTTGCAGATACTGACTACTGTATATAAAAGAGGCGAACAACAAGGGCCTCCTGCAGAGCACAGGGAGCCACATTCACTACCTTGCGATAGCCTACGACGGAAAGGACATGTGTGTGTAACAGAATCACTATGCTGCACACCGGAAACTGACACAACATTGTAAACCAACCGCAGCCTAAGACAGCTCGACGCAGTCCCACCCGCCCCTCCTCCTCCACGGCCAGCGCGCTCTGTGTGCCGCTGTGACTGCTCTCCTCGCCGTGAGGTCATGGGTATGGCCGCCTACGTTCCCGTCTAGCTGTGTTTGTTCACGTTTGGTTTTGCCCTACGCGTCTGGACTTCAGTCCACTTGGCACTGATGACCGTGTGAGGTCTGAGGGGTCGTCAGCTTCATTCTTCCACACAAACGCACAGCGTCCCAACGCCTCTTACGATGAAGACAGTCTTTCCCCAGCCACTGCCCTGCAGTACCACCCCCATCGTAAGCCAAGAAGTGTGTATTTGCCGGTCTTTCTGGGGTGTTCCCCCGCTGGTGTGCTGGCCCTCGGGGGAGACACGCCCACTGAGATGCAGTCTTCAGTCCACCAGAGGCTGAGATGCCATGAAGCTGGGCTTCGGTTCCCCGGGGGCCTGGCTCCCTCTACTCCTGGGGTTCTCACGGGTTGACCAGCACTCCCTGCTCCTGACAGGTCCTGCCCCCAGTCTTGTCCCCCTAAACCCATGCGGCCCTGCTCACCTCTTAGCTTCTGGGCCACCACTTCCAGAGCTGTCATCCACTGCACGGGAAAGGGACCCCAGTCTTCCACATCGTCGTTTTTCATCCTTTGTCCGAACCCTCTCGATGTTCTCAGAGGAACGGGTACTGGCCCATCATGATGGGAAACCCAGAGTCTAGTCTGGTTTAATTTAAGGGAAACTAGCTTAGATCTAAAAATGGCTCATTTACTCAATTCAGATGTCTTGGTGGAAAGCATCTTGGTCTCTGATGTTACAAGCCAGTAACGTCAACAAAGAGCCTCGGCCGGATAAACTCAGCACCCGGCAGGACGAGGGCTGCCTGTGGTCCCCTCTCCCACGTCCGTAATCAGCTGCTTTGCTGGGTCTTCTAGACGCGCAGTGAGGAGACCAACGTCTCCTGCTGGGAAGCGGCTCTGCCACATCACTTCCATTTCTCCATGAAACCAAGTGAAGCAGGAGCCCCGTGGCCGAGAAGCCCTAGTTTCGCGAGGCCACAGACCTCGGGGGTGAAGGGGCGGGTGGGAGCGCCCGCGTGATGTGCTCACTCCTCCGGGCGCGGATGGACTGAACGCAGGGCAGCTGGCTTCTAAGGTTCTTTCCTGCCCAGATTGAGTGTCTTTGTTCCCCAACATCGTAAACCCTCAGAGTCACACTCGGCTGCCAGTCTCTACAAGCCGGAATTCAATAAAAGCGTTTTGACGGCTGTAACACTCCCACACAATGGCGGTCTTTGTTTATCCTCGGCCCCTGCGGTGGCACCAGAGTCTTCCCCCTTCCTCGCTTGGATGCGCCCTGTAGGTCCCAGCGAGTCTGCAGGAGGAGGACCGTCCGGCCACACCAAACAGGAGGAACGGGTGGTAACACATGCAGATCAGTCACCGTGACACAGGCTCAAGCGCTCTGCCAACCGCGACCTGCTCTCGCAGGCTGGCGGGGACTCACGTGCCTGCCGCCCCCTCCAGCCCTGCACGGCCCCGCGCCCCGGCCTAGCCAGCCCACGGAGCGGCCGCACCTCCCCGCTCCGGGTTTCACCTCAAATGCAGAA